TTTTTTTGGTCCAGTTCGTGGGGCCTGAACTCTGGGCCTACGTGCTGTCCCTCAGCTCTTCAGCTTAAGGCTAGCGCTCTACCACTTGAGCCACAGCGCCACTTCTGGCTTTTTTCTTTCTGGCTTATGTGGTGCTGAGGAATCGAACCCAGGGCCTCAGGCATGCAAGGCAAGCTCTCTACCACTGAGCCACCTTCCCAGCCCGACATTTTGAATTTGATAATTCTTTGTTGTGGGACTACCCTATACATTGTAGGTTATTTTAGGTACCTGGATGCAGCCTTCACCTCATGGACTTTCCTAAAATACTACTAAGTCTGGATTTGAAACACAGTCCTCAGCTCTCAACCTTCTGAATAGTTAGTATTACATGCATGAACCATAGGCACTAGGCTTCCTGCAACCCCCACATCCCCCCTACCCCTGGTAAGATTTTGCCTTGTGGCCAAAGTAGCTTCAAATCTTTGGTTTGTCTACTTCAGTCCCTGAGTTCTGACATAACAGGTCACAGCATCATGCCCAGCTCTTGCTTACGATTTTCTATGTAGGCATTCATGACATCTGCAAATAGATGTAATTTAGAACTTACAGTATTATGTTGAATAAGAATAATAGGAGTAGGTGTTTTGCATTATTCTCTACTTGAGAACGTCTACTTTTTTTTTTTTTGTCGGTCCTGGGGCCTGAACTCGGCCTGGGTGCTGTCCCTCAGCTCTTCAACTGTAGACTAGTGCTCTACTACTAGAGCCTCAGCCCCACTTCCAGCCTTTTCTGCTTATGTGGTGCTGAGAAATCGAACCCAGGGCTTCATGCATGCAAGGCAAGCACTCTGCTACTGAGCCACCTTTTCAGCCCTGAGAACGTATTGATGCTCTTAGGTAGGTTTTCCTTTTTTTTAAAAATCAAGTAGAGGGGTGAAATGAATTTGGTTTTGTGCATTTTTTTGGTTTGTTTTTTGTTTTTTTGGGGGTCCAGTCGTGGGCCTGAACTCTGGGCCTGGCTCTGTCCCTCAGCTCTTCAGCTCAAGGCTAGTGCTCTCCCGTTTGAGCCACAGTGCCACTTCTGGCTTTTTTTCTTATGTGGTGCTGAGGAATTGAACCCAGGGCCTCAAGCATGAAAGGCAAGTGCTCTACCACTGAGCCACCTTCCCAGCCCCTGAATTTGTTTTTTTTTGTGGGCTTAATTACAGATTAGTGTCTTTATCTGAAATACTTGACTAGAAGTGCTTCAAGTTTCAGATTTGGAAGTGTAAACACAAAGTTGATTTATATTTCATATCCACTCTATATACATACTATAAGGGTAATTATATGTTCTTATATTTAGTGTACATGAATTGTATGTGTATGTGTGTGTGCACGCTCACATGCACACATATGTGTTGCTAGGGATTGAATACAGGGCATCATGCATGTTTAACATGAACCCTGCTACTGAAGCTACATGGAACTAGCCCCAGCACACCTGCATTTTGACCATGGCCTATTATATAGGATGAGCTATAGGGTTTTCCTCATGGTGTCCTGTTGGTACTCAATTAAGTGAAGGATTTTGGATCATTTCAGGTTTTTGGATGAGAAATATTTAAACTAATATCATGTGGGTTTTCTTGAGCTTGTAGCTATTTGGCTTTCATTTGTGACTTTTTGGGGGTGGAGGGTGCTGAAGTTTGAACTCAGGTCATCAGACTTGTTGAGCATGTGGTAGAATACATGCTCAACAAATGCTATAGCCATGATTTTTGATTTTGAACCATCTTGCTTAGGTTTAGCCATGGACTTATTAAATCTAAATGGAAACCAGGCCCCCATTGCTCACACGTGTAATCCTAGCTACTCAGGAGGCTGAGATCTGAGGATTGAGGTTCAAAGCCAGCCTGGGCGGAAAACGGGAAGTGGCGCTGTGGCTCAAGTGGTAGAGCACTTGCCTTGAGCTGAAGAGCTGAGGGATAGTGCCCCAGGCCCAGAGTTCAAGCCCCACTACCCTCAAAAAAAATTTCAAATGGAAAACTTATCATTGGATTTAATTTACTAATATATTATTGAGTAATTAAAAATCTGTTGAGATCTTTATGTCTTTGTCTTATTTTATGAGAGAGATTGTGTTTTTTTTTTAAATATTGGACTGTGTGATTTGGTATTGGTATAATATTGGCTGTAAAAGTGATTTGGTGCCAGGTGCTGGAGGCTCATGCCTGTAATCCTAGCTATTCAGGAGGCTGAGTTATGTGGATCATGGTTCAGAGCCTGCATGGCAATATAGTCCTGAGATTCTTATCTCCAGTTATCCACCAGAAAACCAGAAGTGGCGCTGTGATTCAAGTGGTAGAGTGCTCACCTTGAGCTTGAAGAGCTGAGGGACAGTGCCCAGGCCCAGAGTTCAAGCCCCACGACTGCCAGAAAAGTGATTTGGGGCCAGCCACTGGTGGCTCACATCTATAATCCTAGCTACTCAGGAGGCTGGAATCTAAAAATTATGGTTCAAAGCCAGCTCAGGTTAGAAAATCCCTGAGACTCATTTCTAACTGCTAAAAATCCAGAAGTGGAGCTATACCTCAAGTGGTAGAACTCTAGCCTTGAGCAAAAAAGCTAAGGGACAGCACTCAGGCTCTGAGTTCAAACCCCATGGTGGACAAACAAGAAAAAAAGATTTAGAAAATTGTTCTGTCCTGCTGCATTTTCTGGTAAAGATTGTTCTTTCCAGGATGCTTTTTGTCCCTCACATTACTAATTTATTCATCTTTTTTTTCCTAATTTATTTTTTCTAATGGGTCACCGCTTTTGTGATTTCCTTTAGCAAAAGTGTTAATCTCTACCTTCATATGGTTGCTATACCACTGTGTAGACACTTCATATATACTTGACACATCACTGTAAAAATCCCTGCTCTGTATCACTTACTAGATATATAGTCACTGAGCAAGGTATTTGCCTTTGTGTCTGTTACATGGAGATGATAATAAAGGCCTGTGCTTCCATCAGTGTGTTTCAAGGATTATGTGAGTTAATGCATGTAAAATTCAGGGTTGTGTGCCCTCAGACTCAATAGGCTCTAGCTAACACTGTCAAGGTCATACTTCTTTTCTTGTGTTAGTCTTAAATCATTTAAACATGTAGGATGCTTGAGCAGGCTATTAAGCAATAGCAAATGAAAGGTATTCAGTAAGATTTTTTCACCAAATGGATAAATGAACCTAAATGAGTCCCTTGCTCCCTTGGCCTGTCTACTTTCCTTCTTTCTTCCCTCCCTCTCTGGTTTAAGTCAATTTATTAAATTGGCTCCATTTTCATTTTCAGAATTGAGCAATACTTATTTCATAAAATGGAATATATTTATCCACACTTGGCTTTTGTTTAGAAAACAGACTCAAGTACAAGCTCTTGCTCAAATAAATATGATTCAGATTTGATTTCAGGCCTGTTTCTACCATACCTGCTGATAGTTTTTTTTTAATCTAAATTTTGTGTGTTCTCTCTAATGCTCTAATTGCTTTTAAAAATATTTGTCCCAGTTAGAATAGAAAAGTCTTTAAGAAAGTGTACTACTATTGGTAAATAGCTTCCAAACAGAGCTATATTTACTAGGCAAGTTTTCTGCCACTGAGCTTCATTCATCCTCAGCCCTAGTTTTTTCTGTTAAGTTACTGTGTTGTTTCCATATTAGCAATGACCAATGGACAAAGAACTGTACATCAAAAGATACATTCATTTTGAGAATTGATTCTTATAGTGCTTAAAAATGGCAAGAAGAATAAAATAGGAAAATAGACCTTACTATATATTCTTATGTAATAGGTTATAGGACAGTAGATTGAACTTTTAGCTAGTAGTTTTCTCTTCTGGGATATATTTCAAGTTCATACATTTATCACATAATTTTCTATTAAATTTAGGGTGAATTTAAGGAGTTGTAGCCAAATGGCTACACTATGATTTACTTGTAGTTTTGACTTAAGTGGTTTCTGTATTGTGTTAGGAGCCTCCTGTTTAAAGGAGTTGTGCAAATGAGTACATTTGAAATTCTTTTTGTAAATCCTTTATGTAAATTGTATATGACAAGTTCAGTGTCTTTGAGTTTTGATGGTTCTGTTTCATAGATGCCCATGAATATTAATAGTTTCATCAGAAGGGAACAGTCTTGGAGCAGATTAGTTTTTGCATCAACCTTTGTAGACTTGGGGATATAGCTTAGTGGTAGAGCCTTGCCTACAATGTACTTGGCATGATCACCAGTAGGACAAAGAAGAACACAGGAAAAGTTAGAATAAAGGTATAATCTGTAGCCATTTTGTTAGAAATTTATTTATTTAATACCATTTAGTGGCTTTTGAAGAAAACAAATCATTTTCTTATTGTGGTGCTGGTGATAAAATCCAGACTCTGATTTTAGCACTTGCCTAAGTGCTTTACCTGAGCTATATTCCTAGTTTGAGAAATTTTAAAAATACTGTATTTTTAATGTCAGTGAACACTAGTTAGAATGATGACTCTAATACACTTTCCACACTTCACCATCATCATATTCCTTCCAGGTATTTTTGTGTACAATTGACCTGAAGTAATTAGGCTGTACAAAAAACAAAAGACAATGAATAATGTCATCTATCCTTTTAGTAAAATGGTCTGATTACAAAATATGCAGTGAAGTTTTATCTGTTAAATGATTTAAGTTTATAAAAATACCATATTCTCCTTGTTTTATGCTGATGTTGTCTTCTTGAGTTTTAAATTTATCTAGGATATCATCTAAGACAGTCTTGAGATTCTACTCCAGTGATCATGTTTCACCAGTTATTAAAACTGAGAGTACTGCCATTGCTTTCAGTTATTTGTTTAATAATTTGGCTAATCATTGTGAAACACCTTTCTGCATTTTTATTTTGCACTTTCTTGAAAGATGATGCAATACTTACAGAGAGGGAAATAGCAGAGTACATTATTATATCATCTTCCTGACATCTAGATACCATAAGTCTGTTTTGTTTAGTTTTTTTTTTCCCTTACTTAGTCTGGAGCCTTGCATGAGCGATATCCTCTGTGCTTTTTTGTTGTTGTTGTTGGTTGTAGGGCTTGAACTCCAAGCTTGGGCTCCGTCCCTGAGCTCTTTTTGCTCATGGTAGGCACCCTACTACTTTGAGCCATACTCCTGTTTCTTTGGTGGTTAATAGGAGACGAGAGTCTAACAGATTTTCCTGCCCAGGCTGGCTTTGAACTGTGATTCTCAGAACTCAGCTTTTTAAGTAGTTAAGATTACAGATGAGAGCCACCAGCACCAACTCCCCAATCCTCCCCCCACCCCCACTCTTGCCAATCCAGGGGCCTGAACTCAGGGCCTGGGCACTGTCCCTGAGCTTCTTTTGCTCAAGGCTAGCACTCTACCACTTGAGCCACAGCACCATTTCCCGCTTTTTCTGTTGATGTGGTTCTGAAGAAACTAACCCAGGGCATCATGCATGCTAGGCAAACATTCTACTAAGCTACATTCCCAGCCTGATTTTTATTTATGTACTATATGCAAACCATTCTGTAGCTCTTTATTCATGTGTTTATGTATTTGACATCCATTTATTATCCATTTGGCAGCTTGTCTGTGTACTTTATTCTTCATTTGATGTTATGACAAAGGGTGTGGTATAACAAAATGATATGCCCTTGCACATTTTTGATATGTAAGTTAAGGAATAATTGAATGTAGATCTTACATTTAACTTGTATTTCAATCCACATAATTCTTTTTAAAGCTGTTTGACTTTTTTCTCCCTTGACATCAATTGCTTTTAAGATAGGATGTTTGAGTTGGTTAGAATTAGTTTATAGTACCTTTGTGAATGATAGGGAATGCCCAAAAAACTGGAATGCTAGTTATTTTTCTATGATCTCAGGTGATATTACCTGTGTAACTTGCATAAAGTTGTTTTATGTAATTTTTTGTAGTGCTGTTGAAGAATTGGAAAGCCATAGACAGCAATATTTTTGAAATTTGAGTCTACTTAGAACTTTGTGTGTGTGTGTGTGTGTGTGGATGTGTGCACACATGTGCGTGTGCACGCGGGCCTGTTTTCACTACCTGGCATCTTCTATGGTATTAAATCCAGTGTTCACACACTACAGATAAGAGGTCTCCCACTAAGCCACACCCACAGCCCTTATAGTTTTGAGAGAAGGATCAGAATTGGATAGAATCTGTAACTTGTCTATGGTATAATATTTTGGGGTATTTAATTTCTTTCTTTCTCTTTTTTTTTTTTTTTTGTTGGCTGTGGGGCTTGAATTCTGGGCTTGGGCGCTGTCCCTCAGCTCTTCAGCTCAAGGCGAGCGCTCTACCACTTGAGCTACAGTGCCACTTCCAGTTTTCTGGTGGTTTATTGGAGATAGGAGTCTCACGGTCTCTCCTGCCAAGGCTGGCTTTGAACCGAGATCCTCAGATCTCAGCCTCTTGAGTAGCTAGGATTACAGGCGTGAGCCACCAGCACCCGGCTATTTTAGGGTATTTAAGACTTGACTAAGGCCAGATTTTTCCAGGTTCCCAAGTTTTCTTTAAATTTTTCTATTTATGAAGGATTAGTGCTAGTTACTTTCAAATACAGCAGTTTAAAGATTGTTGTTAAGATAACACTCAGGGGCTGGGAAGGTGGCTCAGTGGTAGAGCGCTTGCCTTGCATGCTCAAGGCCCTGGGTTCGATTCCTCAGCACCACATAAGCAAAAAAGAAAAAAGCCAGAAGTGGCGCTGTGGCTCAAGTGGTAGAGCACTAGCCTTGAGCTGAAGAGCTGAGGGACAGCGCCCAGGCCCAGAGTTCAGGCCCCACGACAGGACCCCAAAAAAAAAAAAGATAACACTCAGTTTTTTAATCATCAGGGCACTTATCATAAATGCATTCTAAATAAACATATGATCTATGGTAACCAGTGAGCTTTTCACAATTATAGAGAGGTAAACAATATTAGCTTTTTTGGGCAGGGTAGAGGCAGTGGCCATCTTGCAGACTAATCCTGAGGCACTATACATTGCAGACAAGTATTTTACCACTAAGCCATTCCTCCCTTATCCCCTTATAATTAATATTTAACTCCAGATAAGAGTAACTTATGAGACATATTTTCAGGTTTTGCAGAATGACTTAAAATTGCATAGGTAGAAACCAGACTGCATCTAACAGTCCTCATTTTATTTGCCTCTGTTGGAAGTATTTAATTTTGACTCATTGGTTAAGATACCTCAGTTCTTTAACAGGCTGATGTAAAAATTGTTCATCCCTTGAAACCTTCTAGACTTTTATTTATTATTCACATATTTGTTTATTACTAAGTAATTTGATTCACTGTAATGGCTATTTTAGGAAACATTTTCTTTTGGGAAGTCCAAAACTTAGTTTAAACAAGTTAGAATAGTGCTTTGGGAAAAAAATGCAACATTGTATTATGTGAGAAGAGCAAGTTGTAAAAGTTAAACTCTGAATCTGTATTTAGATGTTCGCATAGATAAAAGATTGGAAATTTACATGCTGTAATGTTATTAGTAGTAACCACAGATTTGTAGGTGTTTTGTATGCTTTTCAGGTACTTAGTTTAGGATTTTATAAAGTTTTAAGTTGGTTAAAACTTATAAATAAACTTTAAAAAACAATTGTCCTGGGCTGGGCTTGTTGGCTGAGGTATATGACACCTGCCATTGAGCATAATGCTTCAGATAATGAGTTGAGTCCTGGTCTGGGCTGAAAAACAAGAACATTTGCCCATCATAAATACTGGGATGGTAATTTTATGTAACAGATTGTAATAACAATTGATAATGAGTGGCTTACTGTACTCTTACCACATATTTCTGTGGGAAATGAAATGGGTAGATGAAAAAATACCTAATGCCTTTAAAGTTTATAAAATTAGTCTAGGAATGTAGCTACAATCTAAAATGTATCTGGGTCGTTTGTGTTAAAATATGTACTAGAAATTTGTTTTAGTTAAAAATTATTTAGATCTATTCTCAGAATATACTCTTTCATTTTTAGGCACTATCCAATTGGTTTGCTATTTGATCTTCTTGCATCAAATTCAGCTCTTCCTTGGAATATCACAGTACATTTTAAGGTACAGTATTGTATTTCTACCTGTCCCACTTGTGGTCAGTAAGAGAGTGGAAATTTTTTTTTAAAAATTTAAACTTTATTATAAAGGTGATATACCAGAGGGGTTACAGTTACACAAGGAAATGAGTACATTTCTTTCTTTCTTTCTTTTTTTTTGTCGGTCATGGGGCTTGAACTCTGGGCCTGGGCACTGTTCCTCAGCTCTTCAGCTCAAGGCTGGTGCTTTACCACTTGAGCCACAGCCCACTTCTGGTTTTCTGAGTGGTTTATTGGAGATCAGAATCTCACAGATTTTTCTGCCTGGGCTGGCTGTGAACCATGATCCTCAGATCAGCCTCCTGAGTAGCTAGGTTTACAGGCATGAGCCACTGGTGCTGAGCCCTTTTTAAACAGTGTTAACCTCTCCCTCATTTTCTCCCACTTTTCCTCCCTTTCTCACCGAAGTTGTAAAGTTCATTTCCAACAGTGTATAATGAGTATCACTGTTAATTTGATTCACCCTTTGTCCCGCCAAATCAGATAAACTTATACAAGACAAAGGGTACAGAAATAAAAAAACAGTGATACCAGGAAATAGACCTAAGGAGAAAAAAGAAAAAAAATAACTGCAAGCAGTATAAAAGAAAACCTCTTGTTTCCATTTCTTGGAGTTCATTTTGATAATCATCATTTTATATGGTCATATGTACATAGCTATCCTAAGAATATCTTTCTTTGTTTTCAGTGTGTGAATGCTTAGAGTGCTGTTTAATTAATCATGTCCAAATGTAATTGTCTTTTACTATGCATTGGATTAACTTGTAGTTCTATAGACATATCTAGTTATTACAAATGAAGTAAAACATGCAGCCTGGGCTTCTTTGAATCTGGCTTGCTTCACTTACTATATTTTTTTCCAAGTCTAAGAGTGGAATCTTTTTTTTTTTTTTTTGGTCTAGTTGTGGGCCTGAACTCTGGGCCTGGAAGCTGTCCCTCAGCTCTTCAGCTCATGGCTAGTGCTCTACCACTTGAGCCACAGCGCCACTTCTGGCTTTTTTTTTCTGCTTATTTGGTGCTGAGGAATCGAACCCACAGCCTCATGTGTGCAAGGCAAGCGCTCTACCACTGAGCCACTTCCCAGCCCCCCCTTTTTTTTTTTTTAAAGCACAGTTACTTACTACTTTTTCCTTTGATTTTTTTTTGTTTTTTTTTTTTTTGGTCAGTCATGGGGCTTGAAGTTGAGGCTTGGGCTCTTGTCTCTGAGCTTTTTTTGTTCAAAGCTAGCACTCTACATCTTGAGCCACAGACCTCTTCTGCCTTTTTCTGAGTAGTTTATTGGAAATAAGAATCTCAGACTTTCCTGCTTGGGCTGGGTTCAAACCACCATCTTCAAATCTCAGCCTCCTGAGTAGCTAGGATTACAGGCATGTGCTACCAGTGCCTGGCTCCTTTGCTATTCTTTTAGTTCCTAGGCTTCCACTAGGATTTGTCTATAAAATGCTTATCAGTTTCTTTTTCTTTTGGTGGTACTAGGGTTTGAACTAGAACCTCATACTTGGCTTGGCTTGCTTCCTCAGTTGGTGCTCAATCACATTTTCAGCTCTGCCTTTTCTGGTTAGTTGAAGACAGAGTCTCCTGGACTTTTCTGCTGGGGCTAGATTTGAACCAGTATCCACTGGCACCACTTATCCACTCATCAGCTGATGGACATTTGGGCTTTTTCTATTTTCTGCCCACTATAAATAGCAACTATTAGCATACAGGTACAAGGCTTGGTGTGAATGTGTTTTCAGTTCTCTTGGTTATATTACTGAGTAGATTACAGGATTACAAGTGTGAGCCACTGACCTGCCTTTCAGTTTCTTTCTAAATTTTGGTTAGAATGACTTAGACTTAAAATGCATAAGCATTTTTATTAGAGTTAAACATACTGTGTTTAAAAATTATTATAACGTATATGTACTTCAAAATAATTTGGCTCTGCCACTTGTGCCACATCTTCAGCTCTGCAAATCATATGTCTAATATGGGACTAGGATACACTTAAAAAAAAAAACAAATCTGGGCTGGAAAGGTGGCTCAGTGGTAGAGCGCTTGCCTTGCATGCCTGAGGCCCTGGGTTCGATTCCTCAGCACCCACATAAGCAAAAAGAAAAAAGCTGGAAGTGGCGCTATGGCTCAAGTGGTAGAGCGCTAGCCTTGAGCTGAAGAGCTGAGGGACAGCACCCAGGCCCAGAGTTCAGGCCCCACGACTGGACCCCCCAAAAAAACCAAAACAAATCTTTGGAGCTGGGAAGGTGGCTCAGTGGTAGAGCACTTGCCTTGTATGCTCGAGGCCCTTGGTTCAATTCCTCAGCACCACATAAGAAAAAAGCCAGAAGTGGCGCTGTGGCTCAAGTGGTAGAGTGCTAGCCTTGAGTTGAAGAGCTGAGGGACAGCGCCCAGGCCCAGAGTTCAGGCCCCACGACCGGACCCAAAAAAACAAAAACAAAAAAAAGAAAACAACAAATCTTCCAGGGCAAGAGGTATGGCTCAGTTGTAGTGTCTGTCTAGCAAACATGAGGCCTTGAGTTCAAACACCAGTACTGCCAAAAAACAACAGAGTAAACCCTCTACTAATTAAAAAAACAAAGCCTAATAAGCAAACTGAAAAATGGCCAAAGGGTTTGAATAGATGTTTCCCTAAAGAAGATATATAGGGCTGAGTGTGATAGCTGTAATAGTCCTATCTACTTGCCATGTAGATATCTGGAGTAATTGTAATTGCTAAGCACAATTAGTCATTAAGGAAATTTTTTTAAGAAGACAATAATGAGTAATTCCTTTACACCTACTAGGTTGATTATATCAAAGTATGGATAATAACAAGTTGGAGAGAGGGTGTGTTCTAATTAGAACCTTAACAAAGTACTGATGGTAATATGCAACTTCAACCCTTGTGGCATGTCCTCAAGTGATTAAATATTGATTTAGCCTGTGATCCATTAGTTCTACTTAGTAATATACCCAATAGATTTGAAAACAAGTTCACACCAAACCTTGTCCCTATATGCTAATAGTTGTTATTCATAGTGGGCAGAAAGTAGAAATAGACCAAATGTCCATCAGTTGATAAGTAGGTCAATGAAATATATGTCATACAATGGAACTCCATGATACATTTCTTTCATGAAAAGCAATGAATTACTGATAGAGGTTACCGACTTGAATACGTGTAAAGTGAGTGAAGGAAGATTCACTAAATTACATATTGTATAGTTCATTTCTATTAGATATTTGGAATATGCAAATCCGTACATGGCACATTTGTGGTTTTTAGGGACTGGAGGAAGATCAGCACAGGAAGCTGCTTATGCTGCTGTCTTTTTTTTTTTTTTTCTTAACCAGTCCCAGGCTTGAACTCAGGCCCAGGCACTGTCTCTGAGCTTCTTTTGCTCAAGGCTATCACTCTACAACTTGAGCCACAGTGCCACTTCCATCTTTTTCTGTTTATGTGGTACTGAGGAATGGAACCCAGGGCTTCATGCATGCATGCTAGTCAAGCACTCTACCACTAAGCCACATTCCCAGCACAGGAAGCTGCTTATGCTAATGTGCCTAGCATTTCTTCATTTCTTCTTGTGATGGATAGTGAAAATGTTATCAAATTAGATAAGTGATAATGGTTATACCTTGCAACTACAATGAAAATCACTGAAATTGTACCTTTTCTTATAAAAAGTATTTTTGAAAAAAATTGGGAGTACTTATCTCAGGGTATTGAGCTCATAGGCATACATTTTACCACTGAATTTATTTATTATTTTACAGTGTTGGTGCTGGGTCTTGAACTCAGCCCCTCTCTCTCCCTTGGCTTTTTTGCTGAGAGCCAGCACTCTGAGATACTTTTGGCTTTTTGCTGGTTAATTGTAGATAGAATGAGTCTCAGATTTTTCTGCTAGGCTGTTTTGAACCACAATTCTCAGCTTCCCAGGAAGCCAGGATCATAGGGGTGACCCACTAGCACCTGGCTAAATGTAAATTTCTGAGGTTTTTTTTTTTTTTTAACAATGAGTACTAGTTTGGCAGTGTGTGTGTGTGTGTGTGTGTGTGTGTGTGTGTGTGTGTACATGTAAATATATTCCTGTATATACACATAATAAATATACACTTTTGCTTGAACTCAGGGCCTGAACTCTATCCCTGAACTTGCTTGCTCAATCACAGCTAGCACTCTACCACTTGAACCACAGTTCTGCTTCAGGCTTTTTTGGTAACTAATTGGAGATGAGTCTTATGGACTTTCCTTCTCAGGCTAGCTTTGAACCATGTTCTCATATCTTAGCTTACTGAGTAGTTAGGATTACAGGCATGAGCCTATAATGAGACTGGAATAATTCTTTAATGCAGTGTTCAGCAAAAGGAGACTTCTCCTATCTTAAGCAGGATAAATTTAATTACTAAATTATTAAATATTCAATCATTTTGTTTGAGAATTTAGAAAACCACATCTAGATATGTAATTAAAGTGCTGATAAATTACAAGGAGAAAAATTTTAAAGTTGCTAAAGAAAAATGACTTACCAGGGATTCAGGGAACACTGTAAGTTGGTGGCAAAAGTCAAAAGACAATGATAGAGTGCTATAAAATATAGAAAATGGTAAGTAGTTACTATAAAAGATTCATTCTTGTCAGGTTCTTGTGATAATCCTGAGAGTTGCAGTTCAAATGTAGCTCAAGCAGGGAACTGTGAGACTCTTATCTCTAGTTAATTATCAATAAGCAGGAAGTAAAGCTGTGGCTCAAATGCCAGCCTTGAGTAAAAACACTCAACAACAGTACCTAGGCCTTGGGTTCAAGCCCAGGTTTTGGCACAAAAAAGAAAAAAAAGGGAGAAGAAAAAAAGTACATGAATAGAAAATTTGCAGAAGACCCTGTATAAATTACCAATAACCATATGAAAAGATATAACATTTCAAGTTACTTAACATTTCAAGTTTCCAAGGAAATGTAAATTAAACTATAAGTGAGATAATATTTTA